TTCCTTCCTTCCTTCCTTCCTTCCTTCCTTCCTTCCTTCCTTCCTTCTCTTTTTCCTTCCCTCTTCATTCTCCTTTCTTCTTCCTTCCCCTCTTTCCTTATTTTTCCTTACTTGCTCTCTTCCCATCTTCCCATCTTTTTCTTTGTCCATTCTTTCCCTTTCTCCTTTCCTGTCTCAAAGGTCCAAGCACCGGACCTAACCCACAATCAGGACACCATTCACTTTGAGTTCCCAGTGGTTTATTAGGCGGGGCCACGGCACACAGTGAGTTCCAAAAATATAAATATAGGACTCAAGTTCGCACTGGGAGCCTCCACCTCCCAGAACATTTTAAATCCTAGAGCCATGCCCTTACGCCTTTGGAGCAGCCAGCAGGCCCAATCAGCTGACTGCCGAGCCACCGGCAGAGTTGATGAACAGCCCGTTTGGCCAGTTTGCAGGCAACTACGCTCCAGGCCGAATGCAAGCCAGCCGACAATCAGCTGTTTGACGGCATCATGTTTCTTGCTGCTTCACCGCTTGTTGCTTTGGGTCCAGGACACCGCTTGCAGCTTTGGTGCTCTCCCCACACCTACACTTGTGCTGGAGCCCCTCCCCCAGGTTTGGCAAACCCCGGATTGGGGTTTGACATTCTGTCCCTTGTTGGATGCTCAAAGGCAAAAGGGGAAACATTTCTCCTTTTGTTTTATTTTTAGTTTGTTTTGCTAGCCCTCTGCCAGCGAAAACAGAGCTTGGGGGGAGGGGCACGAGCTCCATTTTTGCTGACAGAGGCACCATGGGCTGGTCCTTTGCTGTTTCCAGGGCAGCCCCACGGGCCAGATCTAAGCACCCCATGGGCTGGATCTGGCCTGCAGGCCTTAAGTTTGACACCCCTGATCTAGAATGTTCTTCTCATTGTTTACACTCCTTCTAATATGCCTCTTCTCAGCAACAGTTTGGAGGACTGTTAAAAAGGACTGCTCCTCTGCCCCAGCCATACGTTTTCCAGTCCAGGCTGCTTGGAGTGAAAAGCATGCAATATGCTGCCGCTCTTGGGATTCCCTAAACGAGCGCTGGAAGAAAATTGGCCGATGTTTGGCTGCAGCCAGAGCTGGGTTTGGAAGAGTAGCAGATGGACTTCAGGGCAAACAATCTACTCTTCAAGTTCCCAATGCCCAAACCGGCGAGCTGGATGAGAGATTTGCCATTGTGCTGGTGAGTATGTACGGACCGAGTAGACTTTTTGCTTTCCTTCCTCATCCCAATCCAGCACAGTGCAGACAGCCCAATGGAGGTGGAAAACGAGGTGTTTCCATCAGCCCTTCTCCTTTTTTCCCCCAGCCTCCTTTTGCCAGCATTTGGCAGGCAGTCTCGGCAGGCAGTTGCAATCTTTAGATGGGCTTTTATTTTGTCAGCTCAGGGTGGGGAGGAGGAAAGGAATGGTATGTAGGAAATCTGTCTCTGCAGCATCCATTGCTTGCCAGCGGGCAGGCAATGCGGCAGTGACAGGCAAGTGCGCTGGGCCTCAGGGACCACAGGGAAGGCAGGCAAGCTTGCTGGGCCTCAGGGACATCGAGGAAGGCAGGCAAGCTTTCTGAGCAATGTGGGAGGCAGCTGGGCCAGGATTTGGGCCTTGCTGCTAGCAGGCTTGCCCAGGCTGATCTAGGCGCTCAGCTGCGTCGCGTGGAGAGCAATGCATGAGCGC